TCACATTGTTTTACAGCGAGTGTGGCAGCCAATCAAAACCTATTGTTGTCCTCTCTCTTGCTCACACATCCACATCCTCTTGCTCCATCTCTTTCTCCAATTCTCGTTTTCTCTGATACCTATATTTCTAAGGTTTTGCGCTTTTGTTCTGATTTTGGTTTCTCAAGGATTCACTTAATCTCAACGTCTCAGTGAGTTACATGGAGAAATCACAATTAATGACCTTGGAATCACCATATGGAGCAAGTTGGCCACAAAGTTCAAACTTCTATAAAAATTTTGAAAGAAAATGACAAATAGATGTTTGTAGTTAGGGTTTTGAAGTAGAAAAAGTGTAGGGAAAGGGCTGCGAAGTACTTGGAAGGGGATAATGTGGCCATACTCAATCCAGGTTTCAGCTGATTCTGGTTGGAGGCAGAATAACTGTACCGAAATGTGTAACATTCTTCGGCCTTTCCCAACTTAGAACAGCCTCAACTTTGGATGGATCTACGGAGATGCCATTTTTGGACCAGAGCTTAGAACAATCATGCATGAATGTGATAATTGAAACAAAGAACAACCCATGACTTTCAACAAAGAATCCAAATCTCAGCACATGACAACAAGAGAACCAATTCCAATTTATGGAAAATCCGGTAAAGGACTTGAAAGAGTAAAGCACGGAGAGTATGAAATAAAATAACATATAGCAACATAAATTAGAGGAACCCTACCTCCCATGGAGAAAATATAAATAAATGAAGATGTGCTTGAATTCGTCTTAAGGAAACTGATGTATATTGGAGATTCTGATCTAATTACCTTGTAATTGTTTGATTGTGGATATTAGTAATGACGTTTCTATGTATTTTAAGGTCAGGTTCTATGAGTTTGATGGTTGGGAAACATAAGAAATCTGGTAGTTGTTGAAAATGTGAATTCTGCCTAAAAGCATTACAATTTTCCCTGGATCTCCTCTGGAAATGAATTTTTATCAGGAGTTTTACAGCTTCAATGGCTACAAATCTTTTACCACAGGTTCCCATGCATGTCTAGAACCTCCCAAATTAATTTCGTAATTTTTAGACAAGCATATATTTTTATAAAATCCAACAGCGCAGGCTGTCCATCTTTAAATCGCTGCTGGAAAACAGATTTTAAATGAATTATTTGACCAACTTCTGGACACCGGATCATTACCAAACTTTCCAGTTTTATACTTCCGTGAATCTGCTTTCTAAAAATAAATTTATTGAAATTTTCTCAGCTCCAGATATTTTTCAAATGAACAAAGTTTGCCGAAAACTTTATTTTCAGCTCATTCTTTGACTGCCATTTTCCTTCCAAAAACTGATTTTATTGGCAAATCTTAAGTTGCTGGGAATTCCAGTGTCACATTACCCTTTGAGTCTAGTTTTCAAATCATTTTCGTTTGCTCCATTTTGATTTAAAATGAATTTTCTACGAATTTTTAATTAATTGCAGCGCAGATTTTGTTTTGAGGTTGTTTGTGACGTGTTTAAGTTGGCAATTATCGGAGTAGCGCAGCGGAATTTTGTTTCTGGTTATTTGGGTTGAAGTAGGACCAAGAATGGTCTGATTTTATTTGGATTGTTTTTCGAAACTTGTTTTGTTATAGCCCCTAATTTCGGGTCGTTACAAAATGGGTGGTGCAGGATATATTATTTTTACTTTAATTACTAAACAACAAAAATAATTGAAGCATATAGAGAAAAAAAAAAAAAAAAAAAAAAGATCAGAAAAATGATTTTTATGTTGTAAATAAAACTGAGAAAACGGGTCAGATCACTGAAGTGGGTTGCATTCATCAACCCGGATTCATGGGACTTGTAACTTCAAATTTCATAAAAGAATAAAGGATCTAAAGAATTCGAACAAAAATAGGTTGCAGGGATCAGATATGTTTGCACCCTATCAGCATCTGACCCACTCAAATATGGGTTAAGATGGTTTTCGTACCCATTTTCTACCTATCCAAACCCTCTGAAATTGCCAGCCCTGATTAATGTTGATCATGACAAACATTCTCAAATTTCATCTGCATAGTTCATATAAAGTTTAGCAATGTCTAGTAAGTCTCCCTCATAATTAATGAGGCTTCTTTGATATTTTTGTTTAAGATGGTTCTCCTTAAACCATCCAAAGCATCTCTATTTTAAAATACCATAGCATTCAGTTTGGCAATAGACAACTGAAATGCATGAGATACTAAAAGATAACAACTACGACACAAAGCATCATACACAAATCTTGCAATGGCGCCTCAGCTGAAACCAAATTCATGTATGGATTATGATATTTCTTTCCCAAATTATATTGTAGTCGTCAATATAGAACTCATCAAGACTACAAAATATTCCTCTCAATAAAAGTGGTTCACCCCTATCCTATCCTAGTAACTTCATCAGAAATAGTTGGCACAGATGATTCTCTCCTCATCCTGATATTGAACTTCAATTCATCATATATATTTGGAAATATGTTTTAAAATTCCTGTCAGAACTCAGAACACCAAAAAAAAAAAAAAAAAAAAAAAAAAAATGAAATCTAGAAATGGTGATGATAAGTTATATATAACATAAAAATGTTGTACAGGTCATGTGACTCAACAGTAGGCTGGAAAGCAATCTGACTCAACAGTAGGCTGGAAAGCAATCTGAGGTCACATGCAAAGGGATAAGTTGCTCACTTTTGTAACTAGTAGTACTGACTTGCTCACTTTCGTAGTTCGGGGGGGGTAATTTGCTACTTTGATGAAAGTTCAGGGGAATTTTTGCACTTTTGCCTATACAGTATGTAAATTTGTTCTAAGTATTTGACTGCAGATATGTTTTAAAGTGGATTGCCAAGGAGGTGATTGCATTGCTGTGGATAGCAGTGGGCTGCTGATTCCGAAGGAACTAGAATCTGGAGTCCAGATTAGAAGGTGACATGTTAAATTAACTGGAGCACATGAAAGGAAATCAAATTTTTTAAAGGCAGAGTGTGGCTCTGGATGAAGGCGGCTTGGACAAGGGGGCATTTTTTAATAATATCTTGTAGCCTAGGACACTGAACATACAAATCTCTCACTTCCACTCTGTATTAGATGAGCACACAATAATGGAAAGGTGCTACTGGGGCTTTGATTCTTAATCAGATCACCTTTTTCCCCCTTCTCTTGCATATATTTTCTAGGAATAAATTAAATACAACAATAAATAAAAATATATATATACAGTATGAATATTATTTATATTTTATTTACTTTGGACAAAGAACTGAAATAAGGACCCTTTTAATGATTTTCTTGGAATATCGTTTTTTCTTCTTTGTTTTTCTCATATCTTAAGGGACCTTAGAATTAACAAATTTCATTTTCTTTGAACTTATTATGACGTCTGTTTCATATATTTAGTTTCTAGTGGTTCGTCTTTATTTGATTCAATAACATCCAAACAAGTAATTTTTGGTTTACATAGTTTAGGTCCAAATTACCAACATCATTTGCCCATTTCCATTGATTGGGAGTTCTGAAGGGCATTTAGAGTAAGGCACACTTGCTCAATTGGGCACTATAGACACTAAAAATTTACATGATGTCAGAGCATAAGTTGGGTCTACCATCAATTCAGCCCACCATGAAAAAATGGACAAATGGGTCAAGTCAAATTACCCAATAAGCCCAGACCCATTATTAATGTGGGTCACAAGATAATTATATATAATTGAGGATAATTATGCATAATTATCATAACAATAAATAGGATAATTATCACAATTAAAGTGGATAATTATCAAAGGTGAAGCAAGTTGCAATTGTAAAGGGATTGTCTATCAAAAAAAGCAAGTTGCAATTACCAAAGGGATTGTATGTCAGTGGATTGTCTTTTGGATTTTGTTGATAGCTTGAAACGTTAGTGTCGTCTTGGATGGCAGTTGTTTGGTTTGGGAGTGCTGCCCGTTTCAGCGTATTTATAAAATCTTTTCATTATCTATCAAAAAAAACGTTGCAATTCTACCTCTTCATCAAGCCTATAAATAGAGGTAAAGGGGTAGAGAATGGGGGAGAACACCAAGAAAACCAAAGAGAGATTAATGAAACTCTGCCAAACTCCACATTCTCCCAACACTCGAACCCTGAAGACGAAGAACAACAAGCACATTCAAAGTCATGCCGTTCGTCAAGATTCCACAAGGTTGAAGAACCACCAAACAACTCCATTTGAGATCAAGCCTCCACGGCCCTCAAAAGGGAATCAATTCAAGCTTTGTTTATTCTTCGAAGATTTTAAGGAAGTTTGTCACAATCAGTTCAAAATCAAGCTTTGAAGCCCTTGCACTGAACATCATAGGAGATTGAATCAAATGATACTTTCTTTCTTTTGTAAAGAACACCTCAGAGGATTGTACTCATTAATTTTTATACAATGATTAGTTCCACATTTTGTTCTTTAATTTTTCAAGACACAAAATTTGTTTGTACAGTCACAAAGAGCCCCATACAGTGACTTACTATGAGTTACAATGAGAGTGGTGTAGGCGGAAATCTCAATGGAGAATTCACAGTATGAACAAACTTAGATGGGGTGAAAAGGTCTTTCAAGCATACCCAAGAGATGAGCTAGTTCCCATAGCCACAACATCCTATAGTCCAAGCATATCTCAAGCAATTGTACTCTAGCTAAAAACTGCTTCCCAATGATCTCCACAGTATGACAGCAGAGTGGAATAAAACTACGTAATTCAGACCTCTAACAATAAAATAACACCAGTACAATCTCATGCATATAAATTACAAAACTATTTACCTTAATAGCAAGAAATTATAAACTTAATCATATGAGAGCAATTAAGAACATAATTACGATTTCACACGTTCTCACCAACCATCACAATACCAAGCTAATTCCAAAAGCATGTGAAGTATGAGTACTATACCAATACACCCATCTACAATGCATGCATATAATAGGGATCTAGATAAACATAATATAAACCATAAAGTGAACAAATACCTCTGCATCAGTGCCATAGAGAGTTACGCGATAAACAACAGAAACAGAATTGCCATCAGCAGAATAAGTGATGCTTCGGACCTCACCAGACCATTCTACAATAGATAGAGGACATGGAACATGTTGAGATTTGAAAGAATTCATATACCATTAAAACTATAATTGCAATAATTTCAATGAAGGAACATGATGCCTTAACATACCTGGAGCATGTAAGTTCATAATTCGATTCACAATATGCCTGGAAACAATGAACAGTGATATTTTGATTAGCACAATCCTAAACTTTGAATATTGTGCTAAGGAACCAAGTAGAGAAGTAATAATAGAGGTAACAAAATAGAGAATACATATGAGGAAGTATTTTTTTAAAAAAAAGGACTCTGAAGGTTGTTTAGGCTATTTTATACGTTTCTAAATTTCTCGATGGGATTGTTCCCACAAATTCCTTGTGCTAAACGTAACCGCTATTACCACAATTTGAAGTCTTGCTCAATATGGTGATTACTTAACCAAGTCAAGTTGTTATCGTTGTACTAATATGTTACGTAGTATATAAAAAACTTGGGTGACCTAGTCACTTCTTATATCATGAGACAACTTGCGTGTCTCACACAAGATAATACCGTCTTGCAGGATGTCTCGCAATACCACAAGTCGCAACATCTAAGTGAGAGGTCATCTAGCTTATGCAACATTTAAAACACAACAAAATCAAGTCGGTCTACTCAGGAACTTTGTCCCAAAAATGTCAGTTGCTCAATATTAATATATGAATATCCATGCATTCTTTTAAAAGGTTTAAAAATATGTGGAACTAAATCAGAAAATATGGAATGTAAATTTAGCAATGCTATAAGAGATGATAATATAGCGAAAACATTTCAAGATGAAAGTATTAGTCAAAGTAATTATTTTCAACATTTAGTATCAATTATACACCAACAGGCCACTGGCCTAACAATATCAAACCCTTACTTCTCAAAGACAGGTCAAGGGTTCAAGCCTCAGTAGAAACATGTGTGTGAGTACCAACTATGAAGAAAAAAAAAAGTATCAAACTGTTTTTTTTTTTTTTTTTGATAAGTAAAGATATATTAACAAACGCGCTCAGAGGGGAGCGAACCCTAAACAAAACAAAAAAACAAAAATGCAAACGCGTCAATACAACAATAAGTTGTCAAAAAAATCCAAAAAGCTATCTACATATGGGCAATTTTTCCCATTAACCCAAGAATAAAGAGAATGCAAAATATTCGCTTTGATAACCAACACCGACGATTCCTGTCCTTCGAAAGATCTCCTATTCCTCTCATGCCACAACCCCCACCAAATACAAAGAGGTGCAACCCTCCACGCCCTCCTAACCCGACTTTCCACTCTACTCCCTCTCCAAGCTTCTAACATGTCCATTATGTTACTTGACACTACCCATTCCACCCCAAAAACATTCAGCATCAGACTCCAAGCATCCACTGCCACTCTACAATGCAACAAGAGATGATTAACCAATTCGCCCACCTTCTTACACATGCAACACCAATTAACTGTTATTTGGCGTCTTTTTCTGAGATTATCCAAAGTAAGAATGCTGCCAAGCGCCATTGTCCATGTGAAAAAAGCCACCTTTATTGGAGCTGAAGTCCTCCAAACAGCCTTCCAAGGAAACCTGTTGCTCATCAAATTCGTAAGACTTTTATAAAACAGACTCACCTTAAACACCCCTCTAGAATCCCCCTTCCACACCATCTCATCCCTTCCTTCCCCCTCCACCACTTGACTATAAATTAATCCCATTAATTCGGTAAACTCCAACTATTCCCAATCATTAAAATTTTTGCAAAATCTCACATCCCAACTAGCTCTCTCATTCTCTAACCTAAAATAATCTGCCACCACCACATGCTTCACCTCAACCATCCTATAAAGTCTAGGAATCCTACAAGCCAACGCCACATCCCCACACCAAAGATCTGTCCAAAACCTCACAAAACTACCATCCCTAACTCGAAACCGTATCCACTTAGAGAACTCGTCCCACCCCCTCCTAATACCTTTCCATGATCCGATACCTGCTGATGCATTCACACCTCTAGACACCCAACCTCCCTCCTCTTCCTAAACCCCCAAGCAATAACACGCCTCCAAAACACGGACCTTTCGCATCCAAATCTATTTAACCATTTCCTTAACAGAGCTTTATTAAACATTTCCAACCTGCGCAGTCCCAAGCCTCCTCTTTAAATCGGGGTGCACACTTTCTCCCAATTCACAAGATGGTACTTAAACTCCTACACCCCCCCCCCCCCCCCCCCCCCCCCCCCCCCCAAAAAAAAAAAAAAAAAAAAAAGTTCCCCTGAATCTTATTAAGTCTACCAATCACTGTTTTAGGGATTGGAAACAAAGACATGAAATATGTAGGAAGGTTAGCTAAGGTACTCTTTAACAATATAAGTTTACCCCCTTTCAACAAATATTGCTTCTTCCACCCAAATAACCACTTTTGAAAACATTCCACCACTAGATCCCAAACAGCAACTCTCCTCGAGGAAGCACCCAATGGCAACCCCAAATAAGAAATAGGAGAAACCTCCACTCCGCAACCCAAAATAGCTGCCAACTCATGAATATGTCCCACATCCCTAATTGGAACAATCACACTTTTTCCAATATTAATCTTCAACCCCGAAACCACTTGAAAATAGGCCAAAACACCCCTCAAGTGTCTCACTTGATTCACACTAGCATCACAAAACACAATAGTGTCATCAGCAAACAGCAAGTGAGATGTACAAATCTGATTTGGCGCACAGCCCACTGTAAACCCTTGGATAAAGCCCAGAACCTCTGCCCTTTTCATGAGTATACTAAAGGCTTCCATTACAATAATGAATAAAAAAGGGGACAATGGGTCCCCTTGACGCAAACCTCTCGAACTTGCAAAGAAACCTACTGGTATTCACTAAGATAGAAAACTGAGCAGTCGAAATACATTAATGAATCCACCCCCTCCATTTTGTGCCAAACCCCATCCTCTCCAACACATACAATAAGAACGCCCAATTCACATGATCATATGCTTTTTCTATGTCCAATTTACATACAATCCCCGGTTCACCACTCCTAACTCTAGCATCAATACATTCAGTGGGTCGAGAATTTGTCTTCCTCCAACAAACGCATTTTGAGACTCCAAAATGACCCCATCCATCACTTTCCTTAACCTGTTAGCTAGAATCTTCTCAATAATCTCATAAACTGCACCCACCAAACTAATTGGTCTGAAATCCTTAAGCTTCAACCGCTCCCCCCTTATTAGGTATAAGAGTAATAAAAGTGGCATTCAAACTCTTCTCAAAACACCCTTCCTCGAAAAAAACATGCATTACACCCATCACATCCTCTCTCACCACCTCCCAATTCTTTTGAAAAAATGCAATTGTAAACCCATCAGGCCAGAGCTTTATCTCCATCACAACTCCTTAGAGCTTCCAACACTTCCTCCTCCCTAAATTGCCTCTCCAAATCCCCTCTATCCTCATTAGAAATTTTTTCAAACACAATATCATCCATCCCCGGCCTCCAAGAGACGGACTCTGTAAATAGCTCTTGATAAAATGCCACAAGCCCTGTCCGGATCTCCTCTTCAGTTTCAGCCATAACACCATCAAAGCATATCCTACCAATACTGTTCCCTCTTCTATGAGCATTAGCTAATCGATGAAAAAACTGAGTATTGCTATCCCATTCATTAAGGCACAATGTTCTCGACTTCTGTCTCCACGAAACTTCCCCCATCGCTGCAATCTCTTCAAAGTCAGCCTTACACTCCTCCCTTTTACTCCTCTCTAACACTGAAATCCCCTCAACACCTTCCTTCCTATCCAACTTTGAAATCTCCAAAAGTAGCTGATTCTTCCTCCACTCCAACTTACCAAACACCTCCTTATTCCAAACCTTAATGTCGCCCTTTAAGTATCTCAACTTAGTAGCCAATTTGAAACTTGGGTTACCCCTAACATCATAAGCTCCCCACCCGTTCATAATCCTTGCTTTGAAATCATCCACTCGTAGCCACATGTTTTCAAATCTAAAAGGGGTTCTCCCTCTCCTAGTCCCTCCACAATCAAGCAAAATAGGTATATGATCAGAAATTGCCCGTACACACGCCACTTAAGCCACATCCGGGAACTTCTCCTCCATCTCCACTGAAATCAAGAATCTGTCCGGCCTAAAAAAAGAAAGAGGATCCCTCCCACTTGACCATGTAAAAGCGCCTCCCTCCATGGGAAGGTCCAACAACCTGTTAGCTTCCACGAACTCGGAAAAATCAGCCATTACTCCATCCCACGCAACCCAGAAGATCTCTCGCTCGTGTTAAGGACAGCATTAAAATCACCACCAACACACCACTGCACCCCCCATCGGCTTCTAATTGTACCCAGTTCCGCCCACGACACTCTACGCTCCACATCACCTACAGGCCCATAGACACCCGAAAAACACCAATTCGAACCATCTTCCTCAAACCCAAACAGTGATGATAATGAATGCCTCCCTTTCCAAACATCAGCCTTCGACACCCATCTCCTATCCCAAAGAACAGCAACTCCCCCAGACGTCCCCTCTGCATTACCCCCCCCCCCCCCCCCCCCCAACACAACAACAACACACACCCAAAAAAAAAAAAAAAAACTTTTCATAACCTTAGCCTCCTCCACTTCCAATTTAGTCTCCTGCAAGCAAACCACATGCACCTTCCATTTCCGAATCAGAGCCTTCAACACCTTCCTCTTTCTCGGGTCATTCAGTCCCCGAACATTCCAAGACACCATATTGAGCTTCATTAACAACCATTAATTCTTCCACTCCCCCTCCTTCCCCCACTCCTCTTCACTCTCCCTGCTCCACTCCTTCCTTCATAATTCACTTCAGAAAACAAACCTTTCAGCTCTCTCACCCCTTTCAAAACATTCACACTCTTCTCCTTCTTCCTCACCCATTCATCCTCCACTGCTTGAAACAACTCCATCACTTGCAAATCCTCCCCTTTCCAAGTCAACCCCAAAAATTTACTTTCCTCTTCAATACCCTTCACAAACTAGTTATCATCAACGCCATCCAACTCCAAGTGTCTCTGACCATCCCTAATCACTGCCAAGGGAGTGTGAATGCCCACCGTACTCTCTCCAACCTCAGCCTCGATGTCCCATAAATGAAACGAAATCTCCGAATCAACCT